AGATAGATAGATGATAGATAGATAGATGGATGATAGATGGATTATAGATGATAGATGGATGATAGATAGATGATAGATAGATACCTGATAGATAGATGATAGATATAGATGATAGATATAGATGGTATACATAGATAATGGGGTAGATAGATGTTAGGCATAGATAATAGATAGACCTCTATACAGGTAGATGGATAATAGATAGATGATAGACACATGCACACCAAAGGCCTTTAACCTGAACTTCAGCATTACATGACATTAACTTATCCCTTTGGGACGCCAACAAAGACAAGGAAAATGTTTCGAGATAGTCAGACGGAAACCTTGCTCTGTGCCGTGTTTGGTTATGTGGGAATCATGACGTGATGCTGCAGTCTGCGGGCGCTGCTGTCCGATTGCCTGGTTTCACAGCTTCCTAAAGGCTGGACTAAGTCTTTGGAGAACATTGGTATTTGATGACTTTGCAGAGAATAAGTTGAAAAGTTAAACACCAAGAAAAGTCCGGGATGGGGATAAGAAAAAGAAAATACTTTATTGGCAGCTCATCAAAAAGAAAAGAGCCTGAGGAGAAGAGAAGTGCTCAGCAGTAACAGGCCTGGTTATTGACAGGTCAGTTAGAAGGTGGCTACAATATCCCTTCAACTGGATGACAGAAGACAGTTGGTCCTGGTGTAGACAGGGAGAGACAGAACTGTGTTGAGGAGGAGGAACAGGGGAATGCCAGTGACTGCTTGGTCTCTCACAGAACTTTGTGTTAGCACAAGAGGGGTGTTTTTCTGGTTTGTCTCCTGTTAGCTTTGTGCTTCAGGTAACCCCGGGACTGTGCGGAACAGGAAAGGGCTCATATTATGAGTGAGTTACCTCCTGTGACGTGCGTTTGAGCTCCACGAAGAATCCAAGAGAAATCAGAAGTTAATTACAGACCTCTCTACTGAACCTATAGTCACTTCCTTCCTTCCTTCTTTTTCTGTCATCTCTCTCTACCTATCACCTATCTGTCTTTCTATATATCTACCTATCTTTTATCTATATCCACCCATCATCTATCTATCTATCTATCTATCTATCTATCTATCTATCTATCCATCTCTCTATCATCTATCTATCTATCATCCATCTATCATCCATCTATCATCCATCTATCTATCTATCATCTATCTATCTATTCATCTATCATCTATCATCTATCTATCTATCATGTCATCTCCCTAATCCAAAACATTCACTTTCCTTGTAAGCTTTCCCAAGCTGCCCATCCCCACTTCTAGCCCTTAACATCTGTGTAATAAGCACAGCCATACACACACACAC